CCCCAAAACCCCAAAACCCCAAAACCCCAAAACCCCTAATATTTTAGCAAACTTGAATTCAAGTTAATTTTGACTATTTTTCTTGGGTTTTGTGCCTGGCCTCTTTTCTTCTTCAGGTGCTCTCTTGTACTTCTTTGACTGCATTTGTGGGGGAGTTCGGGGAATCATGTCTTTTGGTGTAAATGCTTCTGCTGGTGGTGGATCATCTTTCTGTTCTTCTTCAACAGCAGCTGCCTTCGGAGGTGCTTGTTTTGTAGCATTCGAAGTTCCGAACTGTGGTGCCAGTTGTCCTGCCAAGTTCTGCGATGCCCCTATCGAAATATCAAGCTGTGAGTTGTCTTCGTTCTTGAAGTCGTTGCCTTCCTCTGCAGTTCTGCCTCCGAGAGGAGTCCTCGGAATCTTGTTTCTGGTCCTCATGGGAGACTTTGTGTATGTGTCGCTGATGAAAGGGATGTTGCTGTTGCTCCTGGTCGGAGTGACTGGCCTCGAACTCGACCTCTTAATCTCTGAAATAAGGCTCTTGCTGGTGGAGTCGAGCGCTCTCTGTTTCTTTTCTTCTTGTATTTTTGTGAGAATGGTTGTTGTTTGTCTGAGAGCCTCATCATTAGCAGCCAAGAACTCAGACATCAACCATTCTTCTCCGACTGGAACACCAGAAATGGCGTCGTCGAAGTCTCCTTCTTCTACACAATAAAGCCAGACATACCGATGATTTCTCCTTCTTCGTCGTCGTCTTCGCCTTCATCCTCTTCTTGCTCATCGATGTCATCTTCATCATCAGAGGACTCTTCAGAGTCATCGGCATCATTCTCGAACTGGTCCAGGATGTACTGGAGCTGCCTCTTGATGTGGTCTTCGCTTGGCTGCATGTTCTGCAACAAGAAACTGAGGATCTCATCCATGCCTAGTTCTCTGGCTTGGTCCCGGATCGACTTGCGTCTGAATATCGAGTACAAAGTTCCATTGACATATGTTCGGATCTGGTCGTTCTCGTGTTCGAGCAGTTCGTTGAGGACATGCAAGAGCTCAAGATTGGGGTCTTCACACTTGTCTTTCCCTCTGTTTCGCAATGTCAGGTTCATCAGCAATGCCGTGCAGTACTCGAGAGTGTAGTCACTGAGTGTGTCGCTTTCACATCTCAGAATGTAGACCACATACTTGATCATGTCCATTTCAATGATCATGTCTTGACACTTACTTCTCAAACTGAATCTTTGGATGGCCACGATTGCTTGTTGTCTGATTGCAGTTTCGGACTTTTCACTGAGCAGAACTGCAAAAATGATTTCAAGGATCTTCTGGTGTTTGATCAAGTAGTTACGACCGGCTGGCAGACTCGCCATCGTGTTGATCAGAAACACTGTGTATGCTAGAACTCTTCTGGACTTGTTCAGCAAACTCATCAGGATGTCAGGGCCATCTCCGAGGATTCCTAGCACATCGTAGAACCAGTAAGAGTGCAAGATTTCGTTTCGCTGGGATGTGGTTCTGCACTTCGAAATCCTCCATCTCAGCGCCTGAAGTGTTGCACAAACTCTGACTTCATCTTCGGCCTCAATGAGGAACTTCTTGATTTTGTCGAAGTCAAGAGGAGCAAACGAAATGTTCACTGGAGCCGGAGTCTGGTGGCTTCTGGCTACAGACTGGTCTGCTTCTTGACTTCCGACGTCTCTGGAGATGATGCTCGGACTGTTCTTGACTTCAATGTCAGTTCTGTCGACAGAAACGTTGGAGGCTGGTGCTGGAGAGTGGGGGTTTGAGTGACCAGCAGGAGAAGCCACAGCAGCATGTCTGAGTCCAGTGGTTCTATCTGACTCAGAGTAAGAGTTGGAAGCAGGTTTGGGTTGATAAGGAGAAGGATGACCCATTGCTGAGTGTCCTTCAATAATTTTTCTCAAACTATCTTCATACTTTGCAATTTTCTCTTTCATTGTTTTATATACAATAGTATTAATCGATTTGGAAGCATCTGAATTATCAACAACACCCATCAATTGTTTGGCAATCACTAAAATATTCTTCGAGAAATTGGTCCATTTTTGTTGAGAATTAATAAATGCTCTTTTTGTATTTTGCTCTTTCTGCTGAAGCTCAGAATATCTTTGTTGAAGTATTGCCAATTGTTCTCCAATTTGTTCATCAATTCCCTCCTCAAAATTTCTGTCAGGCTGTTTAAGTTTCTCTCTGTTTTCAAACAAATAAGCTAATTGGCTCTGATTTGGAGATGTAGCTTGGGATATCAAAAACTCTTGCAGCTTCCCTTCCAAGTTCTGGATCCAATGAGTCGTTGCTAATTCCTTAAAGCTAGGGTGCACAACAGGGTCTGTCACATAAGGTAAAGCATAATATGGCAAGAATTCTGAAGTTTTCGACAATTCTGATCCTTTGGTATCCAAAAATTTATTTAAACTCCTTCTGTCTCTTCTTAAACGCTTTCTCATTAGGTTTGCCTTTATTCACTGGATGCATAGGATAAATGGTGAAGTATATCCGAACGTAGAACTCTAGTTTATCAGTATTAATATCTTTAGATTCCTTCTGGACATACTCGTTCCAAAGGGAAACGAATTTGGTAAGATCTCCTTCTGAGAAGCAATTCATCATCTCATCAACACGCTTCTTTGGCTTAACCTTGGACTTCTTCTTGGTCTTTATATCTTCTTTAAAAGCTTTAGCTGCTTTTGAGTAACCAAGTTTGGCTAAATGATCAAGTATAGCTTGGTTTAAACTCTCTGACTTTTTCTCAGATTTCTATAGAATTATTGCTCACAGTTCAACACAAGTCCTAACAGACGTTAGTTATGAGGCACCAAAACGTTCTTTAGTTAAGACCTGTTTAAATAATTACCTCCATAATTTGTTTGAGTATAAGTATTTTTAAAAATCTATAATTTTAAAACAAAAAGGGGTTTTGGGGTTTTGGGGTTTTGGGGTTTTGGGG